CCATCTTCCTAGACATCCTCCACTCCAAACTGACCCAGCTCACTGTGCCTGGCCCCACCTGTCAGTGGATTAATAGCTTTCTGACAGACAGGAAGCAGCAGGTGAGGCTGGGGAAAACCACATCCAGCACCGAGACAATAAGCATAGGTGCCTCCCAGGGATGTGTGCTCTCCCCTCTGCTGTTTTCACTCTACACCAACGACTGCATCTCGAAGGACCCCTCTGTCAAGCTCCTAAAGTTTGCAGATGACACAACGGTCACTGGTCTCATCCAAGATGATGACGAGTCAGCCTACAGAGGGGAGGCTGAGCAGCTGGTCCTGTGGTATAGCCACAACCTCCTCAAAACAGTGGAGATGACAGTGGACTTCAGGAAGAACCCTCCCGCCTTACCCCCACTTACCATACTTGGCAGCATTGTATCAGTGCATCCATTCATGTAACACTTGAAGCCATCATGTAACATCTATGCTTTATTTATACTAGTGAATGCAGGGAGAGGGCTGTAGTGGTGCACTCGCTGTAGTGGTGCACTCGCTGGTGCCCGAGAAAGAGGGGGAGCTGCCTCTTTTCAACTTCACATCAGAAAATGATGTCTGGAGAGTTTTAGAGAGGAGCAAATATACATAACTCCACACACTCCCATACTTTCACATAATGTAGCTTCATTCCAGTTTGTGTTCCTATATTGGAGCAGCACATGGGGTGAGGAATGAATAGTTAGCAGAGGTCAAACACCTCCATGTATTTCTCATTTTTCATGCATACGGCATAATAATTAGAAACTGCAGATATGCTATATTGTACATATTCACCCGCTATAGTGCATGTCCGCTCCTCCATGTACAGTGCTGTGCATATTTCAAGACGGGAGTAATGTTATGCCAGTGTAACATTTATATTACTGATTAAAACTTTACTGCGTTCTTGTGTACATGAAGAGAAAAGAAGAATCTGTTAAATGTACAGTACATCTGGTCTGCTCTCAACAACTCTCGTGTTACTGTTCTGGTCTTTCCTCTTCAGAAAATCATCCCCCCCTGTGAACCAACTGAGGTTTTATCAGGTTTCAGCTTCGGTCCAGGTGGCTAACTGCTCTTCTGGCATGTGCTTCTCAACACCTCAGTTGGCCTTTCCTTTTACATTTCCCCTCAGTACTAAAACCAGCTCAAGGCTTCAGAGATGGAGCACAGTGCAAACCCCTGCATTTAACACCAAATGGTATGAATCCATGTCTCCAGCTGCTGTGACAGTCACTGACCAGAAGCTTGTACTATGAGAATTTCTCCTCGCTCAAATGCTCTGCCTCAGGTACTTTGTGTTCCAGCAGGATAACTTGCGTCAGTCTACTGCTATGCCAGGTGTTAGGATAGCGAGTGATCTTTGGGAAGGCTGAACTGATTCTCCCAGTTTATAAATAACAGACCTGTGCAAAAGCTAAGTTTTATGTTGTACACCTAAGTACAGAGGCCTTTAAGCCATTTAGGCTGCTGTCCATATAGTTTAAACATATATCACCTGACTCTGTGCTTTGCTTCACCCATCAACACGCCCGCACCTGATTTCCTGTAATCAGTCAGTGGCACATCAAGAAACCAGCCACTTTTGACAAACAGTTGTTCAGCTAGATGCTATTTGAGGGGCTCATAGTATATCTGAGCAGTGGTGAAGATTAGCTAAGCCAGCAATACAGAAGAGGAAGAAGGTGTTGGTGTGGTGTAGGGAGCTTTGGCAGCAAATGGCATTGGCATGAATACATTCAGCTGAATAACAGGGGCGGATTGTGGCGTCCACTGTAGACAAATACAGGGTTTACTACACTGTATGAATATGCCACAACTGTGAATGACCACTCTGCAAATCGCTGATGCCAATCAACCAAAACCCTGTCTCCTAGAAATTATATTTATATACAATTAAATGTTTCCCCATTTAAATTGTCGAGACAAATGTAATCACTAGCTGGATTATATTTAAAAAAACGTTTGAATGAAATGATGCACAAACCGCATCAGAGTTGCCAGGAGGTTGTTGGGGTGGAGGGCAGATGAACAACTGTGACATCAGATCCCAGAGTTTGTTAAACATTGATAATTATGTCACGTCTCAAGTCACTTGTGGACTTTTTTTAAAAACTAGGCCAGTGCTGTGCCTCAACATAACATTAAAAAAAGTTTAAAATGTTGGGAGTCATATGACTGGATATTGTACCAGAAAAAATCTATTTTGACAAAATAAGCTGTGTAAGAATTGTTACATGTAAATAAGTCATTAAAAATGGCAACTTGAGTATTCTGCCTATACGTCCTAGTTGATATTTGTCATTGCATTTGAGCCCCATCCTCCCATACTTGTACCTGAATCTGTCTGTGTCCTGTCCCATCCAGGTCTAAAGATCTGTCCATAATCAGCTGCCTGTGTGTAATGGTTATCTGTAGTTCGTATTTAAATGTCTTTCGTTTTTACATTTCTTATAATAACTACGTAATGAACGGACATGAGACTGAATATTTACGCGTTGAGCTGGTGCGACAACTCACGGTAAAAATACCGTGTTGCTCTGCCGTCCACTCGTTTATTCACAGAATAAAACAAAACAAAAACAACTTCCTGTTTCTCATACAATGGCGCCAAAAGGCCATCACAAATTAACCCTTAAGTAACCACAGGTTTACAATAAATTTCAATTCAAATGAACTTGACACTCAGCTGCATTACTCAAATAGAACAATTTTAAATCAAACTTATGCATATTACAAAAATGGCACTTACATGATATTACCAATAATTTTAACCATGTACACTTTTCTATTATAATAGGAAGTCTTTCAATCAAATTACCACACAGTTTGCTGTTTGGTTAATTATTCTTGACATATGAATATACAACAATACAAACCTGATTGTGATAAGTTAACTGACGGTTCAACTGCCAACACGTCCTTAAAACACAGCAGCATAATCCACTGAACAAAGGCCAGCTGAATAACAGGGGCGGATTGTGGCGTCCACTGTAGACAAACACGGTTTACTACACTGTATGAATATGCCACAACTGTGAATGACCACTCTGCAAATCGCTGATGCCAATCAACCAAAACCCTGTCTCCTAGAAATTATATTTATATACAATTAAATGTTTCCCCATTTAAATTGTCGAGACAAATGTAATCACTAGCTGGATTATATTTAAAAAAA